CAGCCGCCCACACTGAGGGTAGACAGTGTCAGCTGCCCACACTGAGGGTAGACAGTGTCAGCTGCCCACACTGAGGGTAGACAGTGTCAGCTGCCCACACTGAGGGTAGACAGTGTCAGCTGCTCACACTGAGAATATACAGTGTCAGCCGCCCACACTGAGGGTAGACAGTGTCAGCTGCCCACACTGAGGGTAGACAGTGTCAGCTGCCCACACTGAGGGTAGACAGTGTCAGCTGCCCACACTGAGGGTAGACAGTGTCAGCTGCTCACACTGAGAATATAGTGTCAGCCGCCCACACTGAGGGTAGACAGTGTCAGCTGCCCACACTGAGGGTAGACAGTGTCAGCTGCCCACACTGAGGGTAGACAGTGTCAGCTGCCCACACTGAGGGTAGACAGTGTCAGCTGCCCACACTGAGGGTAGACAGTGTCAGCTGCCCACACTGAGGGTAGACAGTGTCAGCTGCTCACACTGAGAATATACAGTGTCAGCCGCCCACACTGAGGGTAGACAGTGTCAGCTGCCCACACTGAGGGTAGACAGTGTCAGCTGCTCACACTGAGAATATACAGTGTCAGCCGCCCACACTGAGGGTAGACGGTGTCAGCTGCCCACACTGAGGGTAGACAGTGTCAGCTGCTCACACTGAGAATATACAGTGTCAGCCGCCCACACTGAGGGTAGACAGTGTCAGCTGCCTACACTGACAATAGACACTGTCAGCTGCCCACAATGAGGGTAGACAGCATCAGCTGTCCACACTGCGGGTACACAGTGTCAACTGCCCACACTGCGGGTACACAGTGTCAACTGCCCACATTGCGGGTACACAGTGTCAACTGCCCACACTGCGGGTACACAGTGTCAACTGCCCACACTGCGGGTACACAGTGTCAACTGCCCACACTGCGGGTACACAGTGTCAACTGCCCACACTGCGGGTACACAGTGTCAACTGCCCACACTGCGGGTACACAGTGTCAACTGCCCACACTGCGGGTACACAGTGTCAACTGCCCACACTGCGGGTACACAGTGTCAACTGCCCACACTGCGGGTACACAGTGTCAACTGCCCACACTGCGGGTACACAGTGTCAACTGCCCACACTGCGGGTACACAGTGTCAACTGCCCACACTGCGGGTACACAGTGTCAACTGCCCACACTGCGGGTACACAGTGTCAACTGCCCACACTGCGGGTACACAGTGTCAACTGTTCACACTGCAGGTAAGCATTCCTTACTTTTATTATATTAACGGGGACAGCTAAACCCGTACGGGTCAAACAGTGCCAAGGAAAAGCTAAGCAATCAGCTTTGATTCAGTAAGGGAGAGGAGTAGCTCCAATTTTATGTATCAAGAGCCTACGTTCAGACAAGCGTCGAAAATTCTAATGCCGTCTACTGTCCTCTTTTAGTTCAGTCCCCAAGAGACTTTTAGCTTGGGTCCCACGGACATCCCTGGCATTTCTCATCCTTGTAGTCTCTCCTTCAACTTTCCCAAGGGTCTAGCAGAGTCCCCGTCATACAATTTCCCAGGGGTTCTTCTTGATTCTTTTCCATTCCAGTAAAGTCTCACGCGATCTTGCGATTTCAGATCCTCTCTCACAATCTCTATTGAATTCTGTGTTCGTCGTCTTTCGCCAACTCACCACGAATCCCCACGCTCTCCCCTCCACGAAAATCTAATAACCAAGGGCTCCACACCCACACCAAATATTATGGAAATTCAATTTGAAAGGTAAAAGCGAGAGATCGGAAGTTCTTCCATCGGGGTCGCCGCATCCTCCCCTCGCTGTCTTTGTCTCATACTACACCAACTGTCTGTCGCTCTTCCTCTGATAAACTCCTCACCCTCTTCTTAATCTCTCAGTCTCCCTGCTTTCTCTCTTTCACTCTGCCTGTCTTCGACTGCATTGCAAGAATATATATATATATATATATATATATATATATATATATAATATATATATATATATATATATATATATATATATATATATATATATATATCCTGCTCCTCATCCTTATATCAGATATAGACAGAGATGTAATCCACAGCACCGTATTATCCTTTGCGGATGATACTAGGATCTGCATGAGGCTGTCATCTGCTGAGGACGCGGTTAACCTCCAAGAAGATATAAACAAAGTTTTCCAGTGGGCAACGGAAAACAATATGATGTTCAATGAGGACAAATTCCAACTACTCCGTTATGGAAAACTGGAGGAGATAATAACTAGAACAGAGTATACTACAAACTCTGGCCATACAATAGAGCGGAAAAATAATGTAAGGGACCTGGGAGTAGTAATGTCTGAGGATCTCACTTTCAAGGATCACAACAGTGCCACGATCACAAGTACAAAGAAACTGATAGGATGGATAATGAGAACGTTCAAAACGAGAGATGTCATGCCAATGATGATTCTTTTCAAATCACTTGTTCTCTCTAGGCTGGAATACTGCTGTACATTAACATCTCAGTTCAAAGCAGGTGAAATTGCAGATCTATTGAGTGTACAGAGATCCTTTACTGCACGCATAAGTTCTATCGAGCACCTGAACTACTGGGAACGCTTGGAAGCACTTGACTTGTACTCGTTGGAACGCAGGAGAGAGAGATATATCATAATCTACACTTGGAAAATCCTAGAAGGAATGGTCCCGTATCTGCACACATAAATCACTCCCTACGAAAGTAAAAGACTGGGCAGGCGATGCAAAATA